GACGATCCCGGCCATGCGCTGGGTCGACAGTTACGGTCGTCGCAGCTTGCTGCTGATCGGCGGTGTCGGTATGGTCGTCGGCCACGTTGTCTCGGCGACGGCGTTCACGATCGGCTGCGACGGTGACACGGTGTCGCTTGGCTGCTCCAAGAGCGCGGGCTGGGTCATGGTCATCTCGACGATGGTGTTCATCTTCAACTTTGCGATTTCATGGGGTCCGATCTGCTGGATCTACCCGGCCGAGATCTTCCCCATGAACGTGCGCGCCAAGGCTGTCTCGGTGTCGACCATGATGAACTGGGCCATGGGCGCGGTCATGATCGGTGTGCCCAAGCTCTTCCCGTACATCAACATCAACGGCGTCTTCTTCCTCTTTGCGGGTCTCTGCTTCCTCGCGATGACGTTCGTGTACTTCAAGTGCCCGGAAACGAAGGGTCTCGTGCTCGAAGACATTGAGCAGCTCTTTACCAAGGCCGGCGAGAAGCCCGCGTACAAGACGCACAAGACCCCGGACCAGACGGCGGTGTAAATTTGTATCAATAGCAGATATTAGTGTGTGATTATTACTTGGTGTGTGGTCTTTTTCTGTGATGGCTTGTCGCGCCATAGCAAGAGTCGGTCATGAGTATAAACGATGGTCCTCAAGTGTGAGATTTCGCATGTCTCGACAACCGACCCGCGATAGATCCATGCCTGCAATGCGGGACGCAACTTCAACATGAAATGAATAGGATGTTACAGTATATATAAGAATAGAGTTGAATGAAACCAGAATGGCCGGAGAAGCGTATCTGTAATGCGCTAGTATAGATTGATAGAGGTTTGGAGACGATTGCTTGCACCTACTGTCACCCATGACGCATGGTTTTGCGCCCATCGCTGCCCAATCAGCAACCCGTTTGCATAGAAATCGTAAGCAGAAATCCAGTGAATCCTTGAGGATGTAAAAAATAGCCGTGCGGCGCGCATTGGCTCTGGCCGTGGTAGGTTCTTGCTGCATTAAATGCGCCGACTATTGCACCGTACCGAGGTGCTTCTAGGAGAATGTATATGGGTGCTTCAAGCCCCTCCCATCGAACTTGGATACGACGGGCAAGGTCCCGCATCACGCGTACATCGGATAGAGGTGTAGTACCGTGCAAGCGCGCTCGCATCGGGCGTCTGATCCGACCAGCGCCGGAAGCATTGCATCATCTTGCAGGGCGATCCCATTCATTGGCGCGTGGTACACGTCGGTCACTGGACGGCGAGCCTCCACCACCACTACAAATATCACGCGACGCGACCTGCTGGCGTCAGGCAAGCAGCAACGAAACGCAATGCATGTCCCAGCACGGCCACGTACGGTCGAAACACATACACACGAGGAGCTCCACCAAAACAATTACTAGTATTCACTTTTCAATTTTCCCCAAGTCATTTCCAACTCTTTCCTCCACCAAGGTCGGATCCGCGATGTCGTCGCCCTTCCGCGAGAACTTTTACGCCGTGTGCGTCTGCGCCTTTGCGTCGCTCGGCGGTATCTTCTTTGGCTACGATAACGGCGTCACCGGCGGCGTCATGGTCATGCCCTCGTTCCTTGCCGACTTTTGCATCGGCTACGGCGGCAACACCGAGGTCGCTTGTAATGCTTCCACCGCCAACCTCCCCGACAACTGGATCAACTTTACCACCGTCTACAACGTGCTCTACTACGTCGGCTGCATGTTTGGCGCCATCATCGGCGGCTACACGGCCGACAAGTACGGCCGCCGCCTCACCATCTTCACGGCCGCCGTCTTGTACTGCACCGGCAGCGTCGTCCTCGTCACGTCGGGCCACGGCGCCCACGCCCAAGTCTTTGTCGCGCGTATCATTCAAGGCTTTGGTGTCGGCAACGCATCGTTCTCGCTGCCCGTCTTTGGCGCCGAGATGGCCCCCAAGGAGCTTCGCGGTATGCTCTCGGGTCTCATGCAAATGGCGGGTGTGACGGGTATCATGCTTGCCGGTATCATCAACGCGATCGTCCAGGACGTCAACCAAGGCTGGCGCATCACGGTCGGCATCGGTCTCTTCTTCCCCGTCGTTGTCATGCTCGGTATCTTTTGTGTGCCCGAGTCGCCGCGCTGGACGTACAAGGCCAAGGGCCGTGAGCCCGCCGCGGTCCAGCTCAAGCGTCTGCGCAAGAACGACAACGTCGACGAAGAGCTCAACGCCATCGGTGACGTCCTCGAGGAAGAAGGCACGGCCGAGACCACGTGGTCGGATGTGTGGACGGACCCGTCGATCCGCCGCCGCCTGTACATCGCCATGTGCCTCCAAGTGCTGCAGCAAGCCACGGGTGTCAACCCCGTCTTTGCCTACGGCGGCCAGATCTTCAAGGACGTGCTCAACCAGGGCATCATCTGTCTCCTCATGATCCAGATCGTCAACTTCCTCTCGACGATCCCGGCCATGCGCTGGGTCGACAGTTACGGTCGTCGCAGCTTGCTGCTGATCGGCGGTGTCGGTATGGTCGTCGGCCACGTTGTCTCGGCGACGGCGTTCACGATCGGCTGCGACGGTGACACGGTGTCGCTTGGCTGCTCCAAGAGCGCGGGCTGGGTCATGGTCATCTCGACGATGGTGTTCATCTTCAACTTTGCGATTTCATGGGGTCCGATCTGCTGGATCTACCCGGCCGAGATCTTCCCCATGAACGTGCGCGCCAAGGCTGTCTCGGTGTCGACCATGATGAACTGGGCCATGGGCGCGGTCATGATCGGTGTGCCCAAGCTCTTCCCGTACATCAACATCAACGGCGTCTTCTTCCTCTTTGCGGGTCTCTGCTTCCTCGCGATGACGTTCGTGTACTTCAAGTGCCCGGAAACGAAGGGTCTCGTGCTCGAAGACATTGAGCAGCTCTTTACCAAGGCCGGCGAGAAGCCCGCGTACAAGACGCACAAGACCCCGGACCAGACGGCGGTGTAAATTTGTATCAAAATAAACCAGTGCAAGTGTGAAGTTTTTCTTATAAGGTCCCAAAAGAGATCATATCGAGAAGGTAGATCGTGTTGAAATGACCGGCGACGTCGCCGCTTTGGGCCTCTTGGCCCATACACGTCCGTGTCGTGGCCAAGGGCGGTCATTGCAGGTCGCGACGCCGCCACAGGGTCGCACACGGGCGGCGTGCATTGGCCTGGCGTTCTCTGCTCTTAGGAACGACCTAATAATGCTTGCTCGAGTGGGCGAATCACTTCGATGCCAAGGTCTCCTTGCCATCGACTTGAACCTGTTTTGCTGTCACCGGCGTGTATCGCGTGCAAAGTGTGGGTGGCGTCATGGCTATAAAAGACATTTCCGAGACGCTCGACGCAGATAGATCTCGATCGACGAGCTGGTCAATCATTTCGAGTGCAACGACCATCACGGCCAGCTTGGTGCGGTCAAGTAGCAACGAGCCGTCCAACGTTCTGCAAGCTCACTCGAGACGACGGCGCAACTTGAAATAGCAGCTTGCGGGGCCAGTACGTTTTGAGAGCCTGAATTGGGTTGGCTAGACACGAGGAGCTACACAAATGGAGATTCAACGTCCCGCTGTACCGTCACAGGATGCCACGCGAGAGAATTCTATAGTGTTTTAGGAACGATCTCAACTGGGTGCGCTCTGCGATAGCACTCTCATCGCTGTAAAGCACAGCACTTTATGGTGTGTTGGGGAAACGCCCGCGGCGCTAGGTAGCCTCGTCACTGGATTACGAATGGTGCGACCCTTTCTGTCCGTCCAGTACCGCAAGGATCCTATTTACGCCAGGGCCTCTCACCCGCCAAGAGTCGATGCACTCCCCGCGTGAAGAAGGCACCGCCGATTTGAAGATCGCCAGCTGCGTCGTTGCAAACCGGCTCATCCAGTCGTTACACCGACTACCCAATCGCGAAGTCGGTTAGGAGCTCGTAGTCCGTACTGTGGTGCATATAGCCGACTAGTCGTGCAGTTACAATTTTGTAGAACCACCGTGAGCCTCTCTCTTGAATCCAAGAAAGAGGAGAAAAGCAGGAGGAACTCAGCGCATCCACATCGGTTGGTCTTCTCGACGAGGTCGATGACGTGGCGATCCTGTGACGGCGTTGCTGGGCGCGCGGCAACATGGCAGACGTTCCTGGGTTTCATGTTTGTTTTTGTATAGTCGTATCTCTGTGGCCTTTAAAGCAAGGGTCAATAAACAGTGTATTGACCCTTGCTTTAAACGCTCAGCTCGAATATCGACCAATGAATGCGCGCAAAACCCTGTGGCTAGTGCGAGTGTTGCATTGCACGAACGCAACACCCTCTCTTTGTAGCTTCTCCTTCTTTGATATATGTACGTTTACACTGATAAGGATTTGCGGAAGACGGTCATGTCATCTGGTCCGTCGCCTTTCAACAGTTCTACGGCTACAGTATCCCCGAGCTCACGAAAAGTAAGGTAACTCTATCGGCGCAAGCCAGTATCGACGACTCGGCTTGATGTGTTTGTGCGATGCAAATGGAGACATACACACGCTGCGTCGTTGTGTGGACTTGCTTTCACCCATGGATTTGACCTGGATTTTCGAAAAACACCTGTGCCACGTTGAAGTGGTATGCTCGCGTCCGGTGTTGCTCGTCGAACTTGAAGCTGCGAGTAAAACCCATGGATCCAAACTGTACACCAGTGCTTTGCCGCTGTGCTTTGCCATTGTGCAACGTCTCGTCTTCTCCCCTTGTCATGTCGTTCCGGTACAAGTGGTATATTGACGCAAACCAGGCTTGAACATTGCCAGGCTAATAACGTCGCCCTGACAAGTAAGTATACATCTCTCTAGTACGCATCCTCTCGTGGGTACTTTATGCGGTGATTTTCTCCTAAAGAGCGAGCACCCAACGGCCATCCCGTTGACGCGTCCCTGTGTCGTCCGATGGTAGTCGCGCTGCAGGACTACTCTAGCTTCAGTGCTCTAGCGTCGTCTCTGGCCAGTACATGTAATGCCGGTCTCTGCTTCTCTCATAAGCGTAGAATCGCAGTTCTCCAAGGTCGTGTGGCGAGGCAAAGTACCATGTTTCAAGTCCGCCCTTCTCGTGTCGACCGCCGGCAAAAAGAAGCAACACCATACGATAGCACCCACACGCGTGCTTGAAGCCTTGCTTGAAGGTACCAATATTGCATCAGAGACAGCCACGATGTTGACACGACCACACACGTGATCCTAGCTTGAGTATAGCATTTACTACCACCAGTTTAGCAACGACAGTACCCATGGCGTTTCGCAAGGACCGGCCCCCCACTGAAGGCTCCCGCACATATGCGATCGTTGTCTGCGTCTTTGCCTCCCTCGGCGGTGTCTTCTTTGGCTATGACCAAGGCGTCACCGGCGGCGTCCTCGTCATGGACTCGTTCCTCAACGACTTCTGCGTCGGCTACGACGGCAACTCGTACAAGACCTGCACAACCGACAGCGCGCGGCTCCCGTCCAACTGGCTCAACTTTACAACGATCTACAACGTCATCTACTACATTGGCTGCATCTTTGGTGCCTTCATCGGCGGCTACATTGCCGACAAGCTTGGACGCCGCGCGACCATCTTCTTCGCGGGCGTTCTCTTCTGCGTCGGCACGTGCCTCCTCGTCTTGACACCGTCGGGCAGCCATCTCATTGCACTGATCGCGCGCTGCATCCAAGGCCTTGGCGTCGGCAACTCGTCGTTCTCGCTGCCGATTTTCGGCGCCGAGATGGCGCCCAAGGAGCTCCGCGGTATGCTCTCGGGCTTCATGCAAATGGCGGTTGTCACTGGCATTCTCCTTGTCGGCTTTATCAACTTTGCACTGGCGCACTCGGCGCACGGCTGGCGCATCACGAACGGAATTGCAATGGTCTTTCCGGTCATCGTCATGGCCGGTATCTTTTGCGTGCCCGAGTCGCCCCGCTGGATGTACAAGGCGCGCGGCCGCATCGCAGCCCATCGCGAGCTCATTCTGCTGCGCAAGACCGAAAACATCCACGCCGAGCTCGACGCGATCGCCGACGCGATCGACGACGAAGGCCGGCACCAGTCGTCGTGGGCCGACCTCTGGCACCCGTCGATCCGCCCGCGCCTCGCGATTGCGATGCTGCTTCAGCTTCTCCAACAGGCCACTGGTATCAACCCGGTCTTTGTATACGGTGGTCAGATCTTCAAGGACGTCGTCGGTGATGGCTTGCTCTCGCTCTTGATCCTTCAGATCGTCAATTTTGTGTCGACGATTCCCGCCATGATCTGGGTCGACCGCTACGGTCGGCGCACGCTCCTCCTCGTCGGCGCCGCCGGCATGGTCATTGGGCACTTGGTGTCGGCGACGGTCTTTAGCGTCGGCTGCAACGGCAACACGACCAATCTCGACTGCTCGACGGGCGCGGGCTGGACCATGATTGCTGCCACGGCCTTTTTCATCTTTAACTTTGCGATTTCGTGGGGTCCGATCTGCTGGATCTACCCGGCCGAGATCTTCCCCATGAAGGTGCGCGCCAAGGCGGTGTCCGCGTCGACCATGATGAACTGGGCCATGGGCGCGCTCATGATTGGTATTCCCAAGCTCTTCCCGTACCTCAACATTAACGGTGTCTTCTTCCTCTTTGCGGCGCTCTGCACCGTCGCCGGTGTCTACGTCTATTTCAAGTGCCCGGAAACCAAAGGCATGTTCCTTGAAGACATTGACGAGCTCTTTGGCGGCTCGAGCCTTTTGGACGCGTCGCACTCGTCGCTTGCGTCACCGTTGCCGCCGTTTGTACTCGAGTAGTAGAGGAACAGACGTTGTATATATAAGTGCTTGGTGGGACTATTCAACGAGGGTCGATGTCGCACTGTCTTGCATTCCATTCGCTTGCATAGCAACGACCCATTGCTGCATTCACAGGCCATAGAGCCATGATAGTTCAAGGTGGCGCGACATGGCGTTTCTTTTCCTAGCCCGTCAAGGTGCGAACTAACTCCGTTGTTGCGCCAGCGGGTCGATCGCTTGCTTTTGCTTTTGGTGGTGACCTTGCCACACGATGCGTACTGCGACAGCCGGCAGCGGTGAACCTTGGCCGTTGTAGATACAAGTAAAGTCGGGTAGCCGGAATGAAGTGGTCGAGGCGCCAGGCGTCGTCGCGCATGACTATCGTCGTGTAGAAGAGATAATGAATAGTCCATCGCGGAGGCCTTCTGCCGCACGTACGATAGGTGCCGCTGGGTCAAGGATGCAGAAGGCGGCTACGCGAGGCGTTGGTTGCGTAGTTCAAGAGGCAAAACGAATCGTTTGCTGCCTCGTTGGATTACAGTCATCTTGCTGTGGCCGCCTGTACGTTGTACACTCGGTGAAGCAGCAGCCCGTCTTCTCAACTTGCAATCGTTTTTTGGTCCGAGTCGTGCGAGCAGACACTTGACGAATGCTAAATACGACGTGAAGAGTGGTGCTGAAAGGAGAGCTTACCGAGCCACCCATCGTCGATATGCAGGAGAAAACGCCGGTGATTGTACAGCGAACCATACAGCTTTGTTGGGATGACACGAGGCGACGACTTGGTTACTACCAACAACCACACCGTGAAGAAAAAGAAGAGTGCAATAACTTTCAAACAATACATGGATACATTATCTTGTACAGAAAAATATGGATCCATCACTAAAACTAGACACAGGGGAGCGCTTAGGCTTCGTCAAACTTGGGCGTCTCGATAGGCGCCTTGGCCGACGGCGCCGGCGCGTTCTTGGAGAAGAGCAGCTCGATGTCTTCGAGGAGGAGACCCTTGGTTTCCGGGCACTTGAACCAGACGTAGACACCGGCAAGTGCGCAGAGCGCCGTGAAGAGGAAGAAGACGCCGTTGATGTTGAGGTACGGGAAGAGCTTGGGAATACCAATCATGAGCGAGCCCATGCACCAGTTGGTCATCGTCGACGCCGAGACGGCCTTGGCACGGACGTTCATGGGGAAGATCTCGGCCGGGTAGATCCAGCACACGGGGCCCCACGAAATGGCAAAGTTGAAGATGAAAAAGGCCGTAAAGACAATCATGGTCCAGCCCGCGCCCGTCGAGCAATCCGACTTGCTCGTGTCGCCCTTGCAGCCCGCCGTGAACGAGACGGCAGAGACC